TACTGCAGCCTAACGTTAAGTCATACAAGCCCTTGACTTAAGGGAGTTAGAGGGGAAAATAGGGGAGACAAAAAAGTAAGTTTAAGGCTAAGTGCACATCTAGAGATTCCTGGGAGAAAGTGACCCATGTACTGAAAAAATAAGAGTTAGTAAGATGAAAAGGGGAAAAATATTATAAAATAAAATTTAAAAAACCCATAAATCTTGAAGGTATAAACAGCATGGTATATTCAGAGAACTGTAAGCAATTTAGTTGAACAAGTAAATCATTTTTATGGAGAAGGGGAGAATTGTGTGCGATGGAGGTTGATTTAAAATATGCATTGGGAAATCATCAAACATTATATATATATATAATAATTAGGGAAGTTAATAAAGTGGATACTTAATGTGTGTGAGGTAAGTTATAATGGGAATAGAGCTTCGCAGTTACATTACTTTTAAATTTGCTTAGTTTTCCTTCTCTTTTTGTTTTAAGTTACAAAACTTATAAAACAGAAAGCTCTATCTCACAATTTATCTTTTTCATCTCAAATGAAAGTTGGGAGGCATTGTCCATTTTTTCCTTGGTTTAAGGGGGTAAGGCACAGTCCCCCCTCTATTATCTAATTTAGAGATACTGAAAACAATATGTTTAGAGAATCAGGACTTTTGTGATGGAAATTGCCAGTCTTGTATGTGGCAGAATTGAGCTTTTTAGTGCCCACTACCTCCTCGGCACTTTCTCTTGTTGCTTCAGTTCCCACTGATGTTTAAAAGGAAAAAAAAAAAGTTAAGAAACCAAAGATGGCAACAACCATGAGAACCTTCCTTGCCTTTTAATGACTCTGGTTATTTTCTGTGATGTATTGTAGATTGTTATGATATGGACATAAGAGTGGGGAATGATGGAATATACCCTGTCTGTTTGTTATTCTTGTATAGAATGATAAGAGCAAATGAATCTAGGTCCGAGCTCTGGGAAAACATCAAAAGCAATAAAGTTGAAGTAAAGTTCAGAAAATAAATGACTTGATGGACTACAGTACGCTTTAGATTCATTAAGGAAAAAAAAAACAAGTCTGATGGGGAGAAACTGCCATTGGTTCAGGAACTGGTGGCCTTGATGATTTCAAAAAGAATATGAGAAAGGCTGGAGGCATGGAAATGGCCGGGGGGAGTAGTGGGCAGTTGGTTGGGAGTGTATAGATGTGTGTTTAGGATGGATTTAAGCAGAGAGCAAGAATTAGAGTTAGAGGATTAAGGTATGTAAAATAATATGTGTGTTTATGTGTGTGTACATGTATTCATGTATGCATGAGTATATATGTGTGTATGTAGATATATATATATAAATATAAATACATATATTTATAGTTCCTGCTTACAAGTAAAATATTAGGATAAATAAGGCTTGGATATAAAAGGCAATTAAACAAATTTTCAAAACAGTAAACTCAGGGCTATAACTTGTGGTACATATTATAAATTATGTAGAATTTCTGAGAAGGAAAACATCAGTGGGAACTGAAGTAATAAGAGAAAATTTCAAGAAGGTACTCAGACTTCGGTGGGCACCAAAAAGCTGAATTACCCGAGATAATAAGGGAAGGTATTCCAGAAAAGGAAAAAAGAAGGAAATGAGTGTAGTCATAAGAGACAAGCTAGAAGGAAGGTACAAAGATTGGAGTGGAAAAAAAAATTGAGTGGAATAAAAATCTAGCAATAACCCACATGAATGTATTTTAGTAAGATCTGGAGCAACAGACGACAAAATTCCACAAATTCAATGAACAGCTAAAATAAAGTCTGGAAGGTCTCTACTTAATTACCAAACAAAGAAAAGAAAACTTGAGATTCCTGATTGTTAATGGAGTATGCTTTCCAATTAGGAACTAACAGTTTGAAAAGTTTACTTCATCAACAATTTCCACACCAATTTTCAAATGTAGTTAGCTTTGAATCATCTTTTGTAGCTATTCCTGTTAAGAATATTATAAATTTCAATCTCCTTTTAAATAAGGGAAACATGCCAACAATTAATCAGTTCTTGAAAAATAATTATGATTAAACTTTCATAATGGGGATTATGGTTAATTGTTGATTCATCTCCCAGTCTTACAATTCTCATATCAATTTGACCTGAGATGGTATTTATCAACATTTCCAATTAGACAGCTCCCCTCACAGTTACTTAACAGCAAAGAATTTGATTTGGAAATGTGGTTGTGTGTGTGTTTTCTATATCACATATTAAACCCAGAATTGTAAAGAAGAATCAAGAGGTTGTTTAGGGAATGTTTGCTGTGATGTTTATTTTTCTACAGAAGAAATGCCAGTAATATTTCATTTATGGGTTCTGATTCCTAATGGACCAATTTCAGCACCCACTCACATCACCAATGGCATTTATTTGATATTTAGTTATGCTTCTTGTATTTGTTGTCATTATGAATACTTGACACTTTCCCTTGTTTCAACAGAACAAGTTAACTAGTGCTAATTATTCAATACATTCAGGAATTTTACTTTTCATTAATGAGATAGAATGCCTCATCTTGGTGGACTGCTAATGTGATAACACTTGGTACGAAACAAAGTCCATACAGCTGTTTAGTTGAATTAAATAGTTTACCAATAAAAACCTATTTTTTTGTTCTGTCCAATAACTCATATTACCATGAGTAACGCGAAGACATAATAAGCCTTTATGGTTTCAGTTAAGCAGGTTATAGCAGGGTATGCTAGTAAAATTAATAGGTAAAAAAAATGTCCCAAATCTAAACATGGCAAATTTAATGAAAATTTGGTTTTTGATAATTTTTTTTTCATTTGAAGATGATTTGACTTTACATTCAGACTCCTATTTCATTGAGGACTTCATTTTGCTTTATTTTAAAATTTTTTGTTAAATATAATTTGTGTTCAATTAAGATTGAGGAAAGTGTATGTTTGAACACATATATAATTAATTTTATGTATATGCATAATAATGGTTATAATATCAATAGTTGCAATGTTCCTCTGGTAACCCTGTGAGTTGAGAGTTCCCATTCAAGATATTTTTACTGGTCCATGGCAAAATGAGAAAATGAAAACAAAACTCCAAGTTTTTCATGAAAAATAATGAATAATGAATACCTTAAGGAACATTATCCTTCATTTTGATATTATGTTTTTTTTAAAAAAAACTTTTTTTGGTTTTATTCGGTTGTCGGAAAAGTCATGATGCATTTTCGCAACGAAAAACATAGAAAAAATACGTCATGACTTTTCCGACAACCCAATAAATATCCTTCATTTTATGAAACAGTAGTGATGGTATATTAAATAATAGTTAAAGTAGACCAGATACAACTATTATATGGAGAAAGAAAGACCTGAATTCCTTGATTAATTCCACAAATCACTCTCACACACATTTTTAAAAAAATATTTATTTATTTTTCTGGAAGTTGAGATTCTGGGAACCACTACTATGAGTAGGCTTTTTTAATCCCCATTTCCAGTATGACACACAGAATTTAAATGACTTGCCCACTCCAGGTACGTTCTAAATGGTGGGCCCCGTGGACTGTCTGGGTCCTCATACTCCAGCTCTTTATATTCCAAATCTTATGCTCTTTCATCGCCATTACTGTTAGAACACATAGCAGGATTACTTGCATTACGGAGGCAAATCAAGAGTCCATGGTAATGTGGTTGGTTCACTTCTTTAAAGTTTTCCTTCAGTTTACAAAAAAAGGTTGTATTCTAATCTATAAGGTTATTTACTATTAGGCCACTCATTTGAAACATTTTCCCTGAAAATTCGTTTTTTAAAAGTTCTCAAGACTGAAACCACAAGGCGTCCTTCATCCGTAAAGCTCACCCCTACTTTGTTTACATTTCTGTGGGAAAATATGCTGACTTCCAAGGCAGAGATTTAGGAAGTTAAGTACCCTTAATACAGCCCTGGGGATAGAAATAGGAACATCCCACCACCTCCACTCCCGCCAGCCTCACCCATGCATGCACTGGGCCTGTTTAGAGGGAGAGAAAAGGAACAGAGTTAGTGGGGAATGGGAAGCACAAGGACGGATGACTGAACCAAAACAGAACAAGGGCTTTGGCCGCCCAGAGGTGATGGCTGCTGTGAGATGCATGGAGCTCAACTGGAGAAGATGAGGAACCTGTGAAGTCTGACAATTGTGAGAAGGAAGGAACTGTTAAAAGAGGACTGTGGGGGGGAAAAGTACAGTGATTGTCCATACCTCCCATTTTCTATCTTCAGCCTCCCTTTTATTGTCACAATAAATACTGTTTTCATCTGTCTGGAGTAAAGGTGAGGAAAGATCATGTTTTGTGGGCAAGGTGGGGTTCCATGTGTCCTTCCCTTCCAGACTCCTCCACTGAGCTAATGATTACAGGGACAGGCCCATTCTGCATGGGAGGCTTGGAGTATCTTTCATTATATTTTTAAATAGTGGTGGAAAGTTGTCAAGTTAAGAGCCGACTGCAGAAAGCCTCATAGGATGGATTTGAGTCTTTTTTGTTTGTTTGTTTTTATTAAAACCAGGTACAAATTGGATTGCCCAGGTCTTGGTAATAATTAATGTGTCAAAAGGACAAATCGTCAAGTACCTTTAAACCACAATTCAGGATTTTATGTTTCTGTTAACAAAATTGATGTCACGCTAGAGCTGCCTCAACAGTAGATGCTTAGCGTCTTTGAATGATTGACACATCAATTAGATTTCAATATTATTTCTTCACACTTAATTTCTATAGTTATTGCTAAAGTTGCTCATTTTAGGTGATGTCTAAGTATTTAGAGCCTATGTATTTAACCATTTTGCACTACCTTGTAGAGTGTTGGGAAAAATTTGACATTAAATAAATTCTGTTGAAGATAGGAATTGCTCTTTCTTTATATTTTAATTTTAATAGTTACACGATGATGGTTTTATCTTAGTTTTACTTTTTTTTTTTTAAGAAACAGCTATACATTTAATACATGATCTTTTCTCCTCCTTTCACATGTTGCTGCTGATTCAATAGAGAGACACCCGATTACAAATGCTATTGATGGAAAGAACACTTGGTGGCAGAGTCCCAGTATTAAGAATGGAATTGAATACCATTATGTGACCATTACTTTGGATTTACAGCAGGTAAATGCCTCTCTTTCCTTTTTTTTTCTTATCATTTCCCATTTTGAAATTGTGCCTTGGATTTGCTCTTTGTGTAGTTAGTAGTTCTTGGGAGAAAAGGTACTCATCACCCTCCATCATTTTCCTCGTGCAATGAACAAAGGGACCTATTCATTTTGTATGTTGTTCTATTAAAATATTTGGCATTTATTTCTAAGGCACAACTAATATGAATTCACAGAAACAATGTAGCACTGAATTAAGAACTGTTTTGACTAATGAGAGTTAATGATGAACGTATGGATCAGCAAAATTTTACATAAAGAAAATATAATAGTGTCATTTTTAACTTTTAAAATAACACAGTGTCCCCACTCTTCTCATGGTGTGTGTACTAGAAGGTTCTTGGATAACATCTGGAGCAAATTACCTCTTCTTACAGAGAGCTGAACAAGCTGTGACAATTGATTATTAAATTAAACTTGGGACACTAAGTGAGATAACAAGTCTTGGAGTTGTATAAAATTGATGTTGGAAGTTGTTAGAGTTTGTCTTGCATAGGCCTAGGTGCCTTCTACACTTAATTTCTTTTTTTTAATTCTGTTCATAATATTCAGGTCAGTGTGACAATATTAATTAATAATCACCATCACCCCAACTTATTTAGGCTTCCAAATAGTACAGACTGAAAAAATGTTCCCATATCTTGCTGTTGTTCGAAATACAAAAGCTTATTTAATTGACTGAAGTCTGAGACTGGTGGTTGAACTTAGACAACTTCTTGAACTCAGCCTGTTTCTCATTCTCTAGAATCAGAATAGGAAAGATTCTTAGCCACTTCTCTCTGGCCCAGTGGAAATAGAGCAGCAAGGGGATTGGGGGTTTGTGAAGGAGAAATGGCCAAGATAGTTAGTTATTCACAGAAACTATACACTATACAGGTCACATTTCCAAAGGCAGCTGTGGTGGAGGGAAGCACCAGCCAATGGCGGCTAGTTAAATTCTCAGGGGGTCAGACAGGCACCAGGATTTCCATAATGGATAACATTTGTCATCACCATGGGAGTAAGACTTTCCACCTTCAGGGTTTGAGCCCATTTTGGCCAAGGTGCACATATTCAGAAACTGCAAACAGCTGGCTGGTGGGTCTCACAGGAGACCTTCTTTCCACCCATCTGGGACTCCTCAGGACCTAAGCGACTGGATAGCAGCAGGGGCTCAGTGCTGCAGCAAAATCACCAACTAGCATGAATTTATTTCCATCCATACTAGCAACCAAATGTCAGCCCTGTGTTAAAGACATTTCTCAGTACATCTCAGAGCACTACCAGGGAATGGTAGGTCAAACGACCACACTGATCAGTCATGCTTTAGGTCAGAGAAATTGTGTGTATGAGTTCCCTGCAAATTCTAGCCTCAAAGTGGACTTCATTCCTTCCTGAAAAAAGTCACAGCAGTTCTCTCCCTTTATGTGGTCACTGAAGGTCAGCCTTCCCAATCGGGAGTGAGTCTGTTGCCTCAGATCATTCCCTGGGATAGGGAATCAATGAACAGGGATGGTTACTGCTCTGGTTTACTTGCTACCTATTCTTTCAGATTGCATATGGAACAAGAGAACCAATAATTAATATAATTTGCACAAATCACCTGTATTACTCTTTGAGCTCAACCATAATGGTGCATAGTACACTAGATGCTACTATTACAAGTTTTTACTAAATAATTTCTATCCAACATAACTCTCTATCATTATTAATTCGACAGGTTTCCAACTGAAAGCCCATTTTTCAATGAAGCTGTTTATGATTTCCTAAGTTTGCGTTGTATCCCTACTCATTTATTCCCACACAGTACCTCAGGACTTATACGAATTTGTTTCCCTGTTCTCCCATTTCATTTAATTGACTTAAGATGAGTGACTGCTCAGGACATCTTCCTTTTATATTTTAGTCGTCATAAAAAGTGGCAGGATTCTACATATAATACAGGTCTGCCTGACTCCAAAGTCGGGAATAGTGGAAGTGGTACAGAGATATGACCTCATATGCTCCCATATCCCAGGATGGTGCCCATTCATGTCCTTATTTACTTCAGCCCTCTCCTACTCTCTACAAATAAGCCTACGCCATGCTCAAGAGAAGGGGAATGAAATCTATAAGATGCCATCTTCTTTCAACTTGACTCAGATTTTAATTAGTCAATGATTTAATGATGTTAAAAGTATAGCAGGTTTGTAATCAGATTTTATAATGGAATTCCTGAGATAGAAAGGCGCTTTAGACCTCTCATTTGGCTGTGGGCTTTGGAGTAACAAATGGTGGAAAAGGATCATAGAACTTACCCAGCAAAAGAGCAAAGCTGTAGGAACACGTATCTCAGTGCATTGGCAACAGAGAAAATGTGGACACCTGTATGTTTTCATTTACCATTTACTTCTTACCATAAGCCTATAAGGCAGCTAGTATTATTATCCTTATTTAATAGTTAAAGAACATTGAGACTTAGAAAAGTTAAGTGACTTGGCCTTCTTAACAAAGTTTATTTTGGGCAGGGCTAGGATTTTAGACCCCAGACTATGACAGTATTTCCTAAACTGGGATCTGGAGACCTAGCCTGAGGTGCTCATGACAGTTTTTGGTATATCATTTCAAGGGGTCAAACATTGTTTGGGGTAAAAAAATGCCACACTAATGTCTTCTTGGTTTCGATGGGAGAATATACAGCCAACATCTGTTTTATTGTAAAAACAGGGGACTCAAATCTCTCATTTTCTAGTACACTTTAGTGTGTTTCTAAAATGGCATAACTCGTCTTTGCCACCTATAGCATGAAGGATTAATAGGTTATTTGGCATAATATGAACTATTATTATCCAACTGGTAATGAAGGGCAGCAGTTGTACAATGAGTAGGTAAATATCATAGATGTTTGTCACCAATTCAGCAATAGGTGTGACCATTTATCAATTCTATATATTTGGAGATGTATGAATTTTCACAATTGCCAGTTTATCTTTTGCTATTGATGTATAAGTATACTTGGTTCCTCTGTGAAATGTTTTAGTAAATTACTATTTTAAATATAAACAGCCACCATTGTATTTTCCTGATGAAATCATTACAGATTACACTGGGACATTTCTTTTAAATTTTAAAATTCAAGATAAGTACTAGAAAAATATAACAATTTATTGAGAAGAAAGTAGCTACTTATTTTATAAATAGTCTTTAGATTTTTATTACTAAGGGATTATTAACTTTTCCCAATTGTATTTTTTACTCACGAGCATATCTTGAGCAAATGATTTAATCATGCTGTGCCCCATCTAACTAGATTAGCAAAATAAATATTATAATATGGCAAGAAATTTGAAATAATGAAAATAACAATATTATAACTAAATTGCATCTGGAAATCATAGCTATTGTAATGTCCTAGTATGGGCATAAAGAAGTTTAAAGGAAAATATTCATCAACTAAAAAGACAATAATAGGGACTTGAAGGTTAATAGGATGTCCAAAATATTCCATTTTAGTCCTTTTCCAACTGAATTTTTACCACAACATGTGTCATAATATCTGATCTCATTTTATGACTATTTAAATCTGGCCACTTTCTCAGGCTTGCCCTTTGATATGTTTAGGAAGAAAGCTGTTTGGGAAGTAGGGTAAGACACAAAGAGGCAGTTTTTAATAGACTTTGTTAAGATATGTTGAGGTTATGTTCAGTCCTATACGATCCACGGATGGCATGGAATGAGGAATGATCATATTAGGAATCCTCTTCACTTCAGTAAAACATTTCCTTCTCTTCCTGGTTTATGCACTAAAAGTAAAAATGCATTCAGCAAGAAAGATTGTCTTGCAGCTTCAGAGATCAATTTCCACATGTTCTTGACCTAAATATTTTATTTAGTGACTTCATAGAGACAAATTTAGTGAACTTGGTTAACAATTTAAATGAGAGTTATGTTTTGGAAGGAGGTTAAGTTAACATTTCTAAGCAAATATTATGATATTTTTGGAATGTACATGAATAACATAGAAACATCTTTTCCTAAAGCCTCGAACCATTAATGTAATAATTGAACCCTTCTGTAATAGTAAAGCATGAAATACATTGAGGTATTTCAATGTATTCAGTTTTTTCTTATATTCAAAATTTATGTTGTTTACACATAAGGGTGATCAAAATTTCAATTTTAAAGAAAGATTATTATTTTTTCATGTTATATATTTTCTTCACACTCTCTTCTTATTCATTCCTATTAAAAGGATCTATAGTTTATAGAGCATTATTAGCTTCACCTGTTAAATAATGAAAAAATATTGAGATAGATACAATTCATAGTTAATCATTCAACAGGTAGAAAGGAGTATAAATAATATCCCTACATTTAATGTTTATTATCTAAATAAGGAGAGAAGACATACACATGCAGTGTATTAAAAAAGCATACAAGATTTAAATAGGCCTGGTTAAATATGCTTCTATTCAACAGTCTATTTGATGTAAGTGTTTCCTTTTGGAGACAGACCTCTATAAAGGCATTAGCCCATGGCACGGTGATTAGATGTTTATTTTCCTGTAGTCCCACTAGATGGTGAGTTCTTGAAGGCAGAGATCTCCAACTATTTATATCAATCATGATGCTGCTCAGCATTTAAGCATTTAGCAGGAAATCAGCAGATTTGATGAAAGAATGGTCCATGGCTACTCTTCAAAGCACTGAATTTTTTCTTGGTACTATTTGGGTCACTGCTAAATCGATGAATACAAAACTAACTATAGAGGAGATTATAATTAACACATTCAGAACATCCTATAGGGATAGATTTTGTTTAGTGTAGCAGAATATGATTAAAATCACAGTTCTTTACCTGCTTTAGTTTTTTTAAATTTAATTTTATTTTTTTTAAGATCATTGATTCAATGTCACAAGTAGGATCTGTGGTTATTTAAAAAGTGTATTCTCAGGCCGGCCGAGTGGCTCATTGGTTAAGAGTTGTCTTGGGAGCAC